GCGTACAGGTGGCCGCCGGCCGAGAGCGTGTACCCAAACTCGGCGAGCAGCGGCTGCGAGATGATCCGCTTCCGGTGGTTCTTCCGCTTGAAGTGGGGGTCGGGGAAGCAGATGAAGATCTTGCTCAGCTGGCCCTTCTCGAAGAAGTTTGGCATGAACCGCATTGCATTGTTGTGCAGCGCCCACACGTTCTCGTACGTGGCGGCGTCGGCGGCGTCAGCAGCCGTCGCCTGCGCAGCCTCGTGTCGGAGGGCGAGGGCCCGCTTCTGCACGTACTCGACGAGCTTCGGTCGGATCTCGATGCCGAGGACCAGCTGGGACGGGAAGGTCTTTGCCTGTGCCGCAAGCGGAGCGGCAGGGCGTCAGGCGGCCGAGGACGGGTGGCGCGGCGGCCGAGCGGCGCGCGCCAGCGAGAGGCAGAGTGAGCCAAAGCCGCATCCCACATCCACGAAGGTCACCCGCTCGCCGCTGGCACGCTGCGGAAAGTACTCGCCCCAGGGCACGTCCTGCGGACGAGCTGGGAACCAAAAGTCGTTGGCGTTGAGCACGTTGGAGTGTGCGCGTGAGCGAAAGTGCTTCTTCTGCGGCATTTGCGGCCCACTCTCATCCTCGCCCTCGCGCGAACGCGCTCCCGTCATCGCACGGCAGGACGGCTAATCCAAGAAGGCAGGTGCTTCCTCGCGACGAGGAGAGCGTCCTGAGAAAACCCAGAGCCACGTCTCGGCAAACGTTGCTCCGTCCCCTCAAGTGCCGGCGTGCACTCATCCTGCAACTCTGCCGCCGCGTCGAAGGCCGTGCCGTCGGCCGGAGCGGTGCCGCCCTCGGCCGGAGAGTGCGCAGCCGCGAGGGGGGCTCGCGGTCGTGGCGGCGGGGGTGGCCCCGGCCATCTCGGGCAAGTGGCGACGCGTGACTCGCACGTTGGGCTCGGAAACGTGGCGGCGGGGTACGGATATCGGCGCGCACAGGGTATCCGGTCAGTCGCGCGATGGCCGATGGGCACATGGTATCAGGGTATCCGCTGGGAGGCTGAACTCT